CCCAGCCGGAGCTCTAGGCATAAAGGAAGAAATGCTATTCAATTGATAAATATGTAAGCGACGCATCAGTAGGCATATTATAATGGCATTGCATAAAATATAATTTTTTTACATTCGATTAGACTATATATTATTGTAATATTCTACTTAATAATTACATCATTGTTGAATATTCTAATATGATTATGATATAAGTAATATACTGAAATAATTTAAATGTGGAAATGTATTAGATATAATTGTTTAGGCTAAATCTTAACATTTAAAACTTGCATTCAAAACGCTCGGCTCGGTCGCTTGACGTGTGGGATAGCAACAGTATTTGACGGCGTGGGCCGGCGGGCAGTTTTTTTTTGCGCGCGGCCGTGTCCTGCAGTAGTCTGTAAATTACCCGCGTGACGACCTTCTTATTGCGTTGTCTTTTTTGTGCGTTAACGTGACAACGAGGCTCTTCTTGAGTTTTTGATTGATTAACTTAACTTCGATTGCCATTAATTGCGTCGACGAGTTGTTTGTGTGGCATTTTAATATCGTACGAAGACATTTTTCCTTTGTCGGTAGAACGCTATAAAATTGTGACCCGAGAGGAGATCGCGTTATAATTTCTGTGATTATAATTTTGTGCTAAGTGACGTTAGACTTGAGTTTACATAAAGGTGAACGTCCTACCAAGTGATCTCACATCTTTGGGAGCAGAGAAGCGCATGTGGGTCTGCTGTCCGATTACATCGGTGACGTCAAGTTACATTTACACACTTTCACACACCACTTACATACCATCAACTTAACCCCTGACTGTCCTTATGGTCTACCCTGCCTCCGGAACTCGGTAAGTTTGTGTTTGCTTATCAGTCATTACATAATAATTATCCATAGGCCATTTGGGCCCGAACCCTCTGGTTGCTCGTGGAGTGGACTACTCATGGGCTCTAGTCCAGTCGACTTCTGTCGGGGCAACTGAGGGCCGAAACAATAATTGTAGCTATAATATTTGTTTACCTACGTGTTGAATGCAGCAAACATCATTATTTTTAAGATATATTCTGTCTTATTACCTGTATTCACAAATAAATAAAATTTGAATTTGAATTTGAATCCTAGACACATAGGAGTCCTATTATCTAGAATGTAGTAAGTAACCATATATATTACCCACTCACCATCAGGTGGGATTGTAGTTTAGCGTCTGTAGTCTGTACGTAATTATTAAGAAGACAGCGATAGTCACGAAGGCATGTGTATAATAAGCTCAAGTCCACCTAGTTCAGTTGTCGATTTGCCTTAGTTAGCTGACTGCTACTTCATCTTGTTAATTCGTTGGACCATGTCACTTTTGTTTTCGAAAAAATGAAAAACCTTTTTAAACATGTATGTTTAATCCGATTTACGCTGATTACACATTATGAGCTTTATGTACGTAATATCAAAGTCACATTTGAATTATCGAACGATTTACAACCTTAAAACTTTAGCGAGTGGGACTATTATACAATGAATGAAGGTGAATATATTTTATTGATTTTTAAAAACGGGTTTCATCTATGTTTCACAGTTACATTTACGTACATCTTTTTTAGTTAGTTGAATAGTATAGTTTCGAACGAAATTTTTGAATATTTTATATTAAAACTGCTATGCAGGTTACACATAACATTGGTATTCTGTGAGAGTGTGGTCCTTCCCCGGTTGATTTAATCCCAACGAGAAAAGCATAATATAGCTGCAGCGTGGCTTTAACACATATACTTCCTAATACTAGTGAAAGGCTTTCTCTTTTCTGAGGTGGATTATGATCTATTTTAAGGTGTTAATTATTGTGTAACGTATTATATACTTACCATCATGTGAACTGTGAGCTCGTTGTCACCCTTATTCTATAAAGAAAAGTGCACTGCCGAGTATGTGTAAAATAGCAGCTCAACACTGCTGTGTTTCGTATGGTGAGTGTAGAGAACCGGCGACCCTTTTTACTGGAAAAGAGGCATTCTATCTTAATCCTTATGGGTGACAACGCATTTGCATTTTGATTCTTGGTTGAGGATAGATGTGGATGTCTATGGGTCACAGCAACCACTTACCACCAGGTGGACTGTGTGCTCGTTTGTAACCCTATCCAATAAAGAAAAGTGTTTCCCTCGTATTGTAGAGATAAATTTAAATTCACACTCGGCGGGCGGATTCGGATGAAATTGTTTCCTTGTGATATTGAAGCTTTTAAAAAGCATAGATGAAACCCGTTCAAATATATATTTTACTGGCCATAAAGAAAAAAAAAACAATAATCTTTTTTAAATAATGAACAAGTACTGAACAGGAAACCTAATCATAGCACGGCAAAAACACGATTTAAATTTGAATGAAAACAATCCAATGCTATTCAATTTAATATTATATAATATAGTGTACGAATTATTATCGAAATGTTGACATTGACTTGTTAATTTAATTATGTTTAATTACTTTTAAGACGTATCGACAATACGTTTTGAACCTTCGATTAGCACTTACCACTAAATGACAAGCTCTAGATTTTGGCAAAAACACACAAAATCAGAAATATTCAACATTTATGACTAGCAAACAAAAACTAACCATTATATTAAAAATAACTTTCAACTTGCTATAAAGAACACGGGATTTATAAAACAGCATTGATATCCTAACACTAATCTTAGACTTCAAAAATCAAGGCATAGACAAACTGACAAACACATTCTGGTAACATGAATATTAGTATTTATTTTCTAATTTTAGTACCTGTCTAGCCAACTTTAGTTTTATAACAACTAAAACTTATCAATATATCTGTCAAATTAATGCAATTGGAACTAAAGTTGATTGTTATAATGAAATAATGTAATGAAATAATCCTGAAGTATGTAAATAATGTCGACAAATTAAGGCCCATATTAATAAACGTTACTCAACGACGAACTCAAGTGCATAATAATTTATATTATCATTACGATATCAGCATCTCAAGATCGTTGCTAATTAATAAACACATAAAATCCGTATCTCAAAACGCTGTACGTAGGAATACTGTTCAGTGACTTGCACTCAAGAACACACATTTGAGAGTCGAGTTTCGTTTATTAATCAGTGTGACACTCAGCTGATATCGTAAACTTAAACCGAATCTTGAGATATGCTTATTAATAAGATCATAACCTCAAGATTGTACTCAAGTGCCTGTACTTAAGCTGAGTAACGTTTATTAATACGGGCCTTAGTAAATAAATTTAATTCAGTCTTTTGAAATGAACTAGCTAAGAAATTTAAAAAAAATTACATTAAAATAAATCTATAAAATGACGTAATGTTTGTTTACTAATGGAACAAAATATGCTTAATCTAAAAAGTTCGTTTCGATTACTTTAATTTATTTTTTGGCGATACATTTAAGTGATATTTTACTCTCAAAATGGCGTAAAAGTATAAGGCACGGTTCAAATACTTCACTAAATTTTTTTGCTTAATATAGAAGGACGTATGACACAGCTACGATGTTACTATCTAATGGTATTTTATGCAAAATAATTGAAATTTTCAACCAACTATTTTGGCACGATAGTGGTTTAAAAAGGAAGAGAATCGGTATAATATAACCTCTTTTAATGATATGTTCTTAATAATTGAATTTCCTATTAGTTTTAAAATTAAAAAAAAAAAGAAAACAAAAAGGCGGAAAATAAAACAAAAAATATATTATTAATCTTTTTATTTAAATTTGATTGAATGTAACAGTAAATATGATCCATCTGTAAATATAAAGTCGTATTTAGTCAGTGGATGGATTCCTTTAAGTTCCAGAAAAATCATTATGTTAGATTTTTAACCTTTTTAAATCAGCCAGTCTGTCAACATAACATGTTTCGATAACTGTTACAAAAAAAAAGACGAAAGAAAATAATTAAAATAATAATTAAAATTGCTTAAGAGTAAAATAAAATTAATAAAACTTTGGTATTTGTATTAAAACCGATTAAATTTTGGAGTAGAAAAGCTATTAATTTATAAGAAAAATTACAATTATTATAATTTATTTACAAAGAAGGTAAGCAGGGAGATAAATTATAATTAATTAAAAATGAAATCTTATTATTATTGTCAGTTCGCGATTTGAGTATTATTTTCGTTCACATTTATTTACAGTAATAGTTGTAGCGAAAATTATTCAAACTTATAGATTTACAGGATTCAAATAGATCTCTTAATAACAAAGGGTACGCGTTATTCAGCTATCAAACCTTTTTTAAACTCAAGTCGTCGTATGAACCGTCAATAATCAACTAAAAACCGTCATTTTTAACTTTTTCGTACTTCAAAATATCTTTTTAAGTATTTAAAACCCTATAAAAATCAAAAAAAGGAGAAGCAAGTGATTAGCTTTTAGAAAGAATGGTTTCATAACTGAATAACGTTTTATAATAATTTTTAATAACAATTAAATGCAATTCAACGCCTTACGTACAATTCTCAAAACTGGGGCAAAAATTCAAAATTTTCCCATAAATTTTGTAAAAGACAATATCCATAACAATATAATTATAGTGATACTTTAAAAAATCTTAATTAACGAAAGAGATCCTTCGTGGGAATCGTTAAATTGAAACATTTTTTTTTATCTTAGCCACCTAACAATAACCATTTAATTACAATTGATTACGGGGCATACCGTAAATGTCTTTTGGACGTTGCAACGTTTACGTAAATTACAATTGTAATATCGGAATCAGTATTACAACCATATGCAGGCTCGAGAACGAGTAATTTCGAGCCTAATTGAAATCACCTCGCATAGTTCTATCTAACCGCGATGGACACTACTTCGCGCACAAGTTCGATCGTTCGTATCACATTGAATGAATTTTTAAATCTATCTAATAATTTTAACTAGTTCGTCACATCCTATTTACAATGTCAGCACTTCACATTTAGAGCTGTTCATTAACTTATTAACTTTAAGTTTATTCACGTCACATATAGTCTTCTGTATTTTAAACTACGTGGGTCTCACTTCTCTTGTTGAATGACTCGTCTATCGTCACATTCTGTTTCTTGTTCTCCTTCCTTATCGTTCCGTACTGAGGTACGTCTGACGTTAAGTTCTGCACCGTTAGAATTTGACTCGAGTTGCTATTTTGTGGTGTGCTCGAAGAAATCGGGCTTCCGTATTGGTTCACGTATTTGTGCCTCGACGGATCCTTGAGAATTGACTGCGGCTGCTTGATCGGTGCTGGTTGTGGCATTTGTGAGTGCTGCAACAAGAACAGTTTAATTAAATTTTCGATGACCGAATTTTGGTCAGGGCGGCACGTCTCAACTGATACTAGCCATTTGCGCAGAACATGATTATAGTGTAAGAGCGTGAAGAAGCACAGGCGTATTCCTTCACTCTCATAGTCCGATGGGATGGTTATATGAGACAACCAGAGAGATGAGGCGCAAGAAGATGAAACATCGCCAACTTACGAAGAATTTCTAGACAGAAAACCCAATAACTGATTTTGGCCCAACCCAGGATTCAAACACACACATTCGGGACCACATGATAAGTAACCGTGCTTACGACCACTGGACCAACGACGCAACCATTCAGGATATATAATAAGTATATTTTAATAATATAATATGTCTGGAACGAATTAAAGTTATATTTTTCAACGTGGTGGTGCCACGCTGCAGCTGTATTATGGTTGTAGAAAGAATGGATCGCCTCGACAGGGGAAATAGCACTCTTTCACAGTATACCAGCGTAAAATAGCAACACAATGCTGCTGTGTTTCGCTTGGTGACTGTAGGGAATCGGAGACCCTGAGGAAACGAGGCATTCTATCTTAGTTCTCAGGGGTGACAACGCATCTGCACTTACATACCTGAAGCTAAGTGGGCGATAGCGTCCACTTAGCTTCGGGTAGACCCAGCGTGCGGTAAAGGGCAGAATTTCTCTGCGGTATCTGGAAGATAATCCGCAGATGAACAAGAGTAATTCGTCACGGATAGTAAATACATGTCCTCGAATGGAAACCTTGAACTGGAAAGCGACGCCCTACGAGATGGTTTGACAACCTGATGAAACAACGATTGACAAACCTAGCCGATAGATGCAGGTGGCTCTGTATCGTAATTTGAGTAATCTGTCCCCCTCCACAAAATTAAGTAACGATCTGGCAAGACATACAAAATTTTGATGGAGCAGGAGCTTTACTTTGTTCAGCAGAAGACTTATGAGAGAACTGTAATAATAATGATGAAAATGAAGATGATGATGGAACAGAAATATTACCTGATTGCAATTGCCCTGATGTAACACTGTGACGTCAGGTGGAGGAACAGCCATCTTGTCGAGCCTCTGTCGTCTTAGCGTCCCGCCTGCTGACTGTCTATCCAAGCCTGAGGCAGAAAAAATTAGGACTACATAAGAAAATGAGTTCAAATTGAATTATAGATTTGTAATATTTAATTTCCAATTTATACATGTTAAGTATTCAATTTACCGTGTAGTGACGATGTAAAAATATCAAAAAATACTCCGTGGATTTTGTAAGAAGCGGCAGAAGAAAACAAATCATGGCAGCAATGTTTTCCTAATAACGACTAAAAATAAAAATAAAAACTTCGGTTGCAAAAAAGTGGCAACTATGGCAAATATCTCCCGGCATATGAGGGAGCCCTATATTCAGCAGTGGACTTTACTAGGCTGATACGGTAATGGTATTATTTCATTCCAGATTGAACGAAATGCTAAATCAAATTTCACATTAACATAACTGCATTTGTCTATTGACTCCGCATAAAGTTCGTAGCGTATAACTGATTAGGCATATTTAACTCCCCATATTAGTTGTTTGTATAATAATGTAGAGTGCTCAAATTTTCATGCATTTATTATTTATACGAGGGTGACACTGAAAATTCTTAGAAAATCCAAAACTTAATAAACTAGCAAATTTAATAAATTATTTTGAAAAGATATAATATAATAAATTAGTTTTATTATATTTTTCAAAATAGTTTCCATTTACATCAATACATCGCTGAATACGATGAAACCACTGAGAAAAGCATTTTGCCCAATCGTCCTTGGGGTCTCTTTGACGGTATTTTGAAACGCAGCCACTGCTTCCTTGGCCTCCATAAAACGTTTTCCTCGAAGTTTTTCTTTTATTTTCGGAAATAAATAAAAAGGTGCGAGGTCGGGGCTATAGGGTGGGTGACCCAGTAATTCCACGTTTGACGTCGCCAAGTAGTCGACTGTTTGCTTGGCGGTGTGCTACGAGGCGTTGTCGTGGTGAAGAAGGCTCCTACTGCGAGGTCGTTTCACCAGAACTTTTTTCAAGATAAGTGGCAAGCAATTGTTAGTGTACCACTCTGCAGTTACTGATTTGCATTCCTTTAAAACAATTCTTGCGTAATGACCTGTCCTTCCGAAGAACGAGGCCACCATATATATATTTCCCACGCTTCGACTTCTCTTCACTTTAGTTGGCAACTCCTCGGAAGGAAACACCCAGACAGCAAACTGTATCTTAATTTCAGGACCATAATAATAAATCCAACTTTCGTCACCCGTAAGTATGTCGAACACAGTTTTTTTTATAGGAGAGGGGGCAAACGAGCATGCGGCTCACATGATGGTAAGTGACTACCGCCGCCCATGAACAACCGCAACACCAGGGGAATTGCAGATGCATTGCCGGCCTTTTAAAAAGGAGTAGGCTCTTTTCTTGAAGGTCCCTAAGTCGTATCGGTCCGGAAAAATTTGAGTCACCTCCGTTAAATCTTTGAACCATTTCACGACAACAATCAACACGACGGAGTTTTTGGGCCTCTGTCAAATTATGAGGTATCCACTGGCCACAAAGCTTCCAGACCACTAAATGTTCATGGAGGATTTTGTGCACTTAACTCATACCGATCCCTAAGTTTGTCCGAATATGCTGATAAATCACCCTTTTGTCAGTCTCTATCATACGCCACACAACACTGATATTATCTTCAGTTGTCGCCGTAGAAGGCCGTCTCTCACACAGATCATCGGTGAGATTGGTGCGACCACGTTTAAACTCATTAAACCAGTTGTAAATAGTGGCACGAGATGGGGCTTTATCGTGAAATGCCAATAGAAGTCTATCGTAACTTTCTTGTTGACTTAAATGACATCGAAATTCATAAAAAATCATTGTACGAAAATTTTCTAGCGTTAAATTCATGCTGATGTGATACAAACAATTTTCAATTTGCTGCCAAATCGTAAACAAATGACAAATTGAGATTACATATACACAACAATACTGGCAAAGAGTTCCATTTTCAAAAATTTTACTTATTTATTATTACATTGTTTACAAGTGGCCAGTTGTAAAAACTTTCAGTGTCGCCCTCGTACATAACAATATCTTATAATAATGTTTCACATATACACTCCAAAACTAAAATACAGTTTGCTTGAAATTATTTGTGTTTATAAAATGTGTCCGCGGCATTGGGGTGACCCCAACTCAGTCGCACTTCTACCTACCGTGACAGTTTTTGGCATAAACTCTAAAACTTTTAACAAAATAACTTAAAGTCCCGCTGGGTTTCTTGCTGTTTTTCCCAGGATAAATATTTTTTGGAACCTGAGGTAAAAGTACAAAAGTCACTTTCAAGTATTGCTTTGTAATTTACTTTGAACAAAAATTATTCATTTTTTATTTTACTCTATGACGAGTTTTAATAAAAGTTTCAATAAGTTTTATATTTTACTGTCTTTAACTTACGTTGAAACTGATATGCTTATCAAACAACTATGGTGATTAACAAACATGGGAAAAATCTCTAAGACGAATAAATTGTACCTTAATATTTTAATCTGTACATATAAATTAAAAGTGAAGTCTGTCTCTCTATAATATCGAAATAAATACCTTTTATTGGGCTAAGGATTTCTTTTTGCACTTTCAAAATGTTTGTCTGTCATTCTGTCTGTCCGACCTAATGTTCGGAATGTTTGAACTGATTGTAATGAAACATCACTAAGAGGTAAAGAGCAACGCCAAGAATGATCTGACATATTTTATTCCATATTTTATTCGAAAAACTTAGATTCTTTTTTGAGAAATCGAAAATATGGTAAAATAAATGGTTCTTGATATTTATCTTAAATTTCAATATCGCCAAATTAATAGATCCCCCCAAGCGAAGCCGGAGCGGGTTGCTAATAAGAATATAACTTCGCAAAAAAAATATTTGCCATATTTTCCCCTTTTGGCAAGTGGGTTGGCAACCGCAGTTTTTTTTAAATTTTAGTCGTTATTAAGAATACGCTACAGCGTATCTCCTGATTTGTTTTCCTCTGTCACCTGTTACGACACCCATGGGTTGATATGTGGTAATGGATATTCTTACAGTGCCAATACACGACTTACGAGAACGTTTTATTCTATGCATCCCGTGAGTGTCTAAATAAGCGATTAAAAGATATTGCCCAAATTATCTTGTGGCCTCCGCTAAACAGCGATACTAACAAGTCAATTGCATAACTGATATTAAAAACGTATATTTACGACGAAGAGCATCGACTATGACGCAATACATTAGTCTGGTACTGCGATCGGAGAACCAAAGTCAAATAAAATGGGAATTGACAATGTTATCTTCTGAACTGCTAATGAATTTGTTGAAGATTAAGACGAAGAAGAAGAAAGAGAAAGAAAGGCATATCACATTGAAGATGCTTCTTCTTATTAAGTAGTCTGTAAACGTTTACTGCTAGATTATGGAATAAATCAAAAGTGAAAAAAAAGGTGAATTTGAAGTGGCAGTAGCCTAATAGGATCGCAAACTCAAAAGGTCGTGAGTTCGAATCAGCCATTCGACTACTGTCGTGAAACACTCCTAATACTAGCGTTTAAGCTTACCAAGAGTGGTTATAGAGAATATTAGTAGTAATTAATAGAATATGGCGTTACTTTGCGGAAGTCCATTATATTAAATTTGACAAAAATGTTTAGTCTAGCGGATGTACGCAAAGTAATTTTTGTCAAATTTAATTAGTAGTAATGTTATTGGCATTGCTAGTAATTAAAAAAATGTCGATCGAAGTACCAGAAATTGAGCATTTTTGATGCAGATACCTGTTACCCGTCTGGATATTTGACGTTTGACGTAAAAGAGACAGTTATACTAACCATTGGGAAAACAATAGATCGAAATGGGTTGATTGATACTTTTATCTATGAATTATTATTTTTTTATTTTATAGGATAAGGGTGATAAAAGAGCACACAGTCCACCTGATGCTAAGTAGTTGCTGCGGTCCATAGACATCTACATCTATCTTCTTTTACGAATCGAAATGCAGATGCGTTGTCACCCGTGAGGACTTAGACGGAATGCCTAATTTCCAGTAAAAACGGTCTCCGGTTCTCTACACTCACCATTCGAAACAAAGCAGCGTTAAGCTGCTATTTTACGCTGGTATTCTGTGATAACGTGGTCCTTCCCCGGTCGAGCCGATCCATTCGTGCTACAACTACACCACTAATATAGCTACAGCATGGCTCTACCGCGTATAAAATTAATCAGTTAATACAGTGGAATCTCGATAGCTGGAACCTTCTTATGTTTTAGTTCTCAGTAAAAGGAAAATCAATTGCCATGCCCTTCCATCCAACCACAAAATACGCGGTATCTCGTTATTTTAACTTTGTTACCCGAACTAAATATTAATTCCCTGCGAGCTATTGATCGTATATATTTATAATCTATAATAAAACTCGTATTTTAAAACCCAGACTCCGTAAATCGAAGTTGGTAACATATATTGACGCCTTACTTGGAAATCCCCAAACTCATAGCAATAAAATCCAAAAGGAATGTTTGTTGCTTCTGTTCTATTGTGTGTACTTTGTACGATGAATGAATGAATGAGTACATTCATTAAAGTTTATAAGTAACACATGTGTGTACTTTATGTTTTGGAAAAAATCACTCAATTCTTGTTAAGTCGATAATTCATTAACTGGAAATTTAAACATTTCCCTTACAATTCGAGTTATCGAGATTACACTGTAGTTGCCTCAAATATTCGACAAATTCACTACGTATATTTATAAAATCATATTAAACCAATTATTTCCATGAAATATATAAAATAATATTTATTTACCGTCCAATCCGTAGCTAAGCGGTGGGCTGGTCATGTGTGAAGGAGAACCGCCCGGAACACCTCCATTCATCAAATGTGATTTCGGGAGCGTCTGTGCTCCATACTGTTGCGGTGGTGTTGGAGTCCGACCGGATTGCTACAAAACAGATAAAACGCTATATATAGGTAGATAGATTGACTAATCTTTTACTGTTCTAAGCTAGCCCACTTAACTACAATTTCACCTGATGGTAAGTGGTGATATAGCCTGAGATGGTGACAAGCCTTTTCACTCTTGCCTTGCAGACACCCATATTGTAATCGGATGGAAGAAAAACAAATGCTGGCAACACACACTACACTTTATTGTATTAAATTATATAAAAAAAATATGAACACAAGAGTAGAAAAAGAAAAATAATAAAATGGGCGGTCTTATCGCTAAAAGAAATTTCTTCCAGTCAACCTTTTGATAGACAGGATTGCAACAAAACAAAAAATGTGTGGTAACAATAACATTATTTTTATTATAAACCATAAAATATTAATATGAATAGATAATATAAAATGGTATAAATATATAGATAGAAAAATCATTTGTGATATAATACATTATGCCGGGTTTTTTGCCTATAAGTCATTCTAAATTGCACGCGAGTATAATTGAAAAGGACAGATCCATCCAAAAACAGTCAATCCAAATTTTATGGACTAGGGAAGCTAGTGTATGAGTATGGAGTATGACCCCACAGTTTCAAGTATTTAAATGATATTTAACGATTCAGAAGACTTTTGATTTCTTAAATTGTTAGGTCAGTGAATTAATATACAAGGGTATCAGAAATTGATTGTGAAATTTACTTACTTGCTGTAAATACTCCCCAATTAGCGGCGGGTAGGAGAGGTATCTATCGGACGCCATGTTGTAATAGGAGCCGTCTAATGGCGGCATCGGACTTGGCGCCGCTACGTAATTCTGTTTGCCTGGTAGAGAAAACAGTTTTATGTAATTTTAATGATATGAAAGAACAATTTTACTTATTTTTTAACATTCTTATCAGCTTCGGCATTGTAGACCGGTCAATTGACTTGAAAATTTGCACTCGTATTAAGAACTGATGTCAATACAATAATTTTGTAACTTTATCCTAGTATTGTGATCAGGATCACCAGGATTATGCTCTCTATAATCATCACAGCTCAGTTTACTTATACTCAGCCAATGATTTGGCTTCCTTTACACCTGCTTCTATTGAGCAACAAAATAATTTTACATTTGATTTTCAACCAGTTTCAAGTAATTTAAATTAGATAATAAGACAATAGAGGTAATCTCTAGCAAAGATAATTTAAATAGCTTAGTATACAACTTAACAATACATAATTGTTTAATTTTACAAAATGGCAATAATAAAAACTGTATCAACCTGGTGAATCAAAATATACAAGGTATTAGAAATTGAATTATTTATAAATAGTAACAACATACTTATTTTATGTATTATTGAACATTGTTTGAAAGATTACAATTCCATATTTAATTTCAGTAATCACCAGGTGGTCAGTTTGTTCAATAGGCTCCTTAATATTAGCTAATAAATCCTTATCATGCATGTAAAGAACGTAAAGATATTGTGAACCTCTCTTGAGCGTACTGTAGAAATGGCATGTGTTGAGCTTGAGCACCTTATTGATGCCAGCGCTTACATACCCCCATGTTTAAGTTATGATACCTTTCAAAAAAGTTTTAGTGAAGCATATTAAACAGAATAAATCTCTTGTAGTATGTGATGATCTTAATATCAATCTCCCGGAAACTTCTTCCATAAGTATTAAGTTTTACTCTTTGTTCAAATACTATAATCTTGATATTTTATTCTTTGAAGCTACACGCATTGCAGGGTGTAGTGCAACTTGTATTGATAATATTTTTACAGGTGTTGTACCAGTCAACAAATCAATAATTCAAAAACTTAGTTCAGATCGCTGTGGACAGCTGGTTTCATTACCTTATATGCACAAAAACAGGTAATTGAGAAAATTGTGTTTGTTCCTATTAATGCAAAACACCTGGAAAGATTTAGAAGTAATATGGTAAAAAACCTTCCATCGTTTTCTTCCAAAAACAATGCGGACTCTTTATATGGAAAATTATTTACCCTTAAGGCAAGGCATTTAATGATTGAGCGATAGTAGGAATTCATAAAAGCAGACGAAGGTTATATGACCTTTAACATGAAAGATCATATAATCTTACCGATGCTTTTAAAGAATATGTCAAAAATTATTCTAAAATGGTTAAAAAAGTTTGCTCCACAGCCAAATTAAGACGGTTAAGGATAAAATTAAAATGACGTGGAGTATAACAGCGAAACCGGTAAAGACAAACCTCGTAACTCGTAACATATCAATTCAAAATTAACAATGAATTGACTAAATCAAATCAAGAAGTCGCAAGAGGGTTTGAGAAATATTTCACTGATATTCCTATCTTGACAACAGAGTCATTGAATACTTCTCCAACTGTCGCCGAATCATTACTCACACAGAATGTTAATACCTATTTAAAAGAGTTTAGATTTGAAAAAATACTACCGCAAGATATTGTAAAATACTTCAAAATCATTGATGTAAAGAAAACCGCAGATTTGTGGCAGATTTTCGTTACAGTTATTGCATCCATAATGGATTTAATTGCATCTCATCTCGCTATTATTTTTAATACTTGTATCGATTCTGGTGTATTTCCTGATTTAATGAAATATAGTAAAGTAGTACCTTTATTTAAAACTGGTAATACATAAGACCCCGCTAATTTTATTCCTATTTCTGTACTACCAACTCTTAGTAAAATTTTTGAAAAAATAATTTTGGATCAATTGCAATTTTTTTAATAGAAATAAATTACTTCATAGAAACCAATTTGGTATGACAAGGGGTCGCTCGACGTCTGACGCCGGTGTTGAGTTTATGAAATATATTTTTAATACCTGGGAGAATTCACAAGATGCCTTAGGTATTTTTTGTGCTCTTTCCAAGACTTTCGATGGTGTTCATCATGAGACATTGGGCAGGAAACTACAAGTTTACGGTGTAAAAAATTTGGCACTTAGACTAAAACTTACTCAAAAAGTCGTGATCAATGGTAAAGATTCCTCCGGATCGGTAGTATCAATGGGCGTTCCTCGGGGCTCGATTCTTGGCCCATTACTATTCTTAATCTATATTAATGACTTACAATATCTTGTAGGGGACAATCACGATATAGTATTATTGGCTGATGATCTTCTTTAATTTTATAACTCAAACGGCAGTCAATTAATTATAAAGATGTAAATAATGATCTATCGAAATTAGTACATTGGTTTAACGCCAATAATTTGCTCTTGAATGGCATTAAGACAAAATGTATTAAATTTACAATACATAATGTAAGATATTCGAATACCAATGTGCTCTTAAATGGGGAGGAAGGACAAGTAACTTCTATGGGGTCCCCATATGTCTACATTAGCAACAGACTTAGTTCTGCACCATATGCTGTTAGAAAGATTGGAGGTCTGACAGATGTTGGGACAGCTAGATTAGTGTATTTCGTTACTTTGATAGCGTAATGTCTTATGGAATTTTACTATAGGGTAATGCGACCGACATTGACCCCATATTTTATTGTATACGACAACAGCAACAAAATCCCAGAACATGTTCAAAGTGTGTCATAAAACAATTTTAAAAGTTTTCTTGCTGGTTCTTCTCAGTACAGAGGTATTTACCTAAACAGTGGTAAATAAAAAGTAACTTTCAACAAGTATTATGTAATAATTTATATAGAATATAAAATCATTATTATATTCTATTCTATATTTCTTAGTGGGTGGAAGGTATAAGAGTTATAGTTCAGTTACCAGTGAGTTCAAAACTTATTCGGTTTATTGATTTATACATTTATTAAGCACTAATAAAAATGGATCACCATCTAATTTTTGTCCATCAACATACTGTTACAGTATTTGACTTTAATTCTTACAGACGATGCATTATGTAGTTTCTCATCATCATCATCATCATCATCATCATCATTACAGTCCTTCACAAGTCCACTGCTGAACATAGGCCTCCCCCAAAGAATGCCACAAAGCACGGTCCTGAGCCACCTGCATCCATCGACTTCCTGCATGTCTGACCAGGTCGTCACTCCATCTCGTGGGGGGACGCCCTATACTTCGCCTACTGGTACGAGGCTGCCACTCGAGAACCTTTCTTCCCCATCGGTTGTCGGTTCTTCGACCTATATGGCCGTCCCACTGCCACTTCAGCTTACTAATCCGTTGGGCTATGTCGGTTACTCTGGTTCTACTGCGGATATACTCATTCCTAAGTTTATCACGCAGAGAAACTCCGAGCATAGCCCTCTCCATAGCTCGCTGAGCGACCTTGAGCTTCCTCATACGGCCAGCAGTGAAGGACCATGTAGTTTCTAGGATGTGGTTTTTAGGAATCTCATACAGGGGAAATTTGTCGTAATTGTAACGCTAGGCAGGCGGGTTGGAAACCGCAGTTAATTATTTTTAAGTTGTTATTAGAGAAGGCGCTGCTGTGACGATATGGGGTAGTGAATATTCCTACACCGCTAATACATAGTCATAAAATAATTGCGTTATACATATGTACCGAATTTAGGTAGATTAGAACGCAAAGATACATAGAAACCTAGTAAACGGAAACGTAGCGAGGCAATTAGAAGCAAGTCATAAATGGCTTATTTCTCCGTAATATATCCCTGTTAACATCCATATAAACGTAATGAGACAAAAGGAAACGATATAACTTCTCTACTTTCGTGTAAATACCAGTTTGTTTACACGTGTGTGTGTGTCGAACTTCGTATTAACATTCTGCTTGCATACAACAATAATTAAAGCCTCCCTTGCAAAGAAAAGAATTCTTAGTTTTAAAATTCTATGAAGAAAATAATATTATGTAGCTTCATATTGGAACAAGTTTTAATATTTTACGTGGTAGAGCCATGCTGCAGCTATTTTACTGAAATGTCTTGTAGCACGCATGGGTCGGCTCGACCGGGGAAGGACCACGTAACACGTCTCACAGAATACCAGAGTAAAATAGCAGGTCAACGCTGATGTGTTTCGTATGGTGAGTGTAGAGAACCGGAGACCCATTTTACTGCAAATGAGGCATTCCATGTTAGTGCTCACGGGTGAAAACCCATTTGAGTTTTGATTCGTAATCTGTCGTCCGTAGATGTCTATGGGTTGCTGTGGCCCATAGACATCATCAGGTGGACTGTGTACTCACTTGTCACCTATAAAAAAAAAACGTTCTTATCAAGGGTTCGGAGAGAGAACATGTGGGCTTTGAGGTACTGGAGTATCTTAGTACGTTACGCTAATTATTATAAGATCTATAGATCTAAAGACACAGATACAATGTGCGGTTGTGCATCATCAGCACCATCCATCCAGCACACATAGATCATCTCCGATACCTCTGTGTTCTAGCAATTTAATTGTAGAAAGTTCTAATTAATACATAAGAAAGGTGACACGAAACCGTTGTTAAAGCCTACGTAAAAAATAAGTTCATCTTAGTCCCAACTAGCGACATTTGGTGAGTACCACGCTATTGGTCCCGCGCTCTGTGTTCATGCGCGTGCGAACATAGAATTCTTTGATGCTATTCGTCAAATGAAACAAAAGCCAACGAGCCTGTGCGTCTGAGAGTGCCATTACAGATTAAACAGTTGGTGCTGTGCTGCTATGCTGCTGGTCACGTGAGCCTACTCCGCGTCGTATGCCAAGTAGTATACATAAAAGTCTTTCATTAGATGAAGTGAAATAAAAGCAATGGCGAAGTACCTGTGTGTCCGAGGGTATCGTGCTGTTGATCGCGGGCTCTGTGCGTGTGTGCGTGCTCTGCGTCGCTTACGTAGAATATTTAATGCTATTCGTCATATAAAACAAATGTCAACATACTTGTACGTCCAAGCATGCTGCGCTATAGATCACGTGGTTTATGCTTGTGCGCGTACTCTACGTCGTGTACATAGAATGTTTGATGCTGTTCGTCAAAAAGAAGAAGAGTGTGCCATGCTGCTGGTCGTGCGCTCTATGCGTGTGCGCGTGCTCTACGTCGTGTAAATGGAATGTTTGATGCTGTCCGTCAAATAAAAGCAAAGCCAACATACCGGTACGGCCGAGGGTGCCGTGCTGCTGGTCGCGCGGGCGGTGCGCGTGCGCGTGCGGGTGCGGCAGCGTGCGCGCGTGCTCGGCGTCGAGCGCCGCGTAGTTGGGCGGCGGGTAGTCCAGCGGCGGCGGCAGCAGCCCGCCGTCCTCCACCAGGTACGTCTCCGTCTGATGGACAATAATTGTTTTCTTGTTAAACTAAAGTGAGACATTCGTACCACATACGAAAAGCACCAAGAGATTAATTCGTGAACACCGTTTAAAACAAGAAAAAATTTATAAGAAGTATAAAGTTACAGCCTATGTACGTCCTACTGTTGGACGCAAGCATCCTCTTATTTCTGAGAGGGTTTAGGACAATGTCCACCGCGCTGCCCCAATGCGTGTTGGCGAACTTCACATGTCTTCAATTCTTTTTTATTTCTCAGACATACAAGTTTCTTTTCCTATACTGCCATTTTTTCCTTTGTTGTAAGGTACAATAAAAATAAATAAATAAACAAGTGAGAAACCACATCGAACACAAAACCTCAAAAGCAGTCGAAAAATTGACCACTTGATAGTACGTGAATGTTGTAGGCAATAGACACCTCCTTTTTATAGCATAGAAGTGACAGGTGTATTAACAATCCACCTGGTTTTAAGCGGCTACTGCAGCCCTATAAACATCAGCAAACCTTCAAACATAGAAACGCTGATGCAAGAGCCGCAGATGTGTCAACTCTGAATATAATGATGGAATGGCTCTACACTCTTCAGAAAAAACTCAGCAGTGTACGAACTGCTGCTTATCGACAGAAAAAGGTATCTACCTAAACTAGGAATTATAAAATAATTTTTCTGTTACCAATGTCATAATATTTTTATTCAATTGAAGGTGTTTTAAACTTCGAACTAGCACCGGAGCCCGAGCAGACAGCCATTGGATAATGAAATATGCCTTATGCCGGCTACTATAGATATGAGTTTAGTAAGGTTGTATCTTTTTCGCGACGACCTTGAATTTAAAATTTTGCAATGTAACCCGTCAAGATGTAGAATTCACATAAACAGAAAACACCATTTTTATAATAAGGACAATTTTCAAACCATCACATAAAAGTTATTCGTAGGACAAAATACAACATAAACAAAAAAAAAAACAAAAAAATCTTTTACTTTCTTGTGAGGTTATTTATATAATAAAATTAATAAAATTTCAAATCTCTTCCCACAAACAAAAAACTCCTGTAAAAGAAATGTCTCCAAATGGTTGAAGACGCTGGATTATGGTATGATAGAAAACTTGCTAAGTGTTAATTGCTAATTCTTATAATTGGCGTAGGGTAAACATAACACACACTCACACAAACACACACACACACACACACACACACACACACACACACACACGCGCGCGCGCGCGCGCGCAGACGCAGACACACACACACACACACACCCACACACACACACACACACACACACACACACACACACACACACACACACGTAGCCTTACAGAACTAGACTATGTTTAAGCACTTTACAAAACGTTATTTTCCTTCATATTTTCCAGCCCGTAGAAGTTTACATCTGGATATGGGCCTTTACCAATTTAGAGAAGATTCGCAATAATTGCCATGTTTGCGCATCGCCGGGCTACATATTTTACGTCTGACGTATAAGATATAGCTGTATCATCATCTATATGTTGGCAAATTTATTAATAATAAACTGTTCCTTTGTCGCTAACATATCTCTTTCAGGAATTTCCTATTGTCGCCTTTTACGACACCTTACTTATCTTTAAATTATTACGAAAATTGGATTTTTATAAATTATAAAAATCCAATGTAACCTACAATTATCTTAGACAAAAATGATCAGTATACGATACCTGATTCAACATGTGTCGATTAGCCATCGATGGTACTTCAGGTATTGGTGGTGGTTGCCTGTCATCAACACCTTCATCTTGAGAATACGTTTCGGATTTCTCTGATACAGAACTAAGTGTTTCCCCAGTCATGGTGTCATTGTATGATGACGGTGCGTACATTTCTATAGTTGCCGATTTTGATGATTGTCCAGCTTGTTCTGTATGAAAATTAACGACGTCAGTTTCAAGTACTTAAAGACTTAAATTGTTTCAATAGGAGTCTTTATCTTTATAAGCTATTTTAAAAATCTTATTGTTATCTTCTTTTATTATATAAATATATCTTATTTTTATTTTTAAAAGCTTATCGACAATAAACAAAGACTCCTATTTGATTTTGAAATGAGCCAGATTATAACCAATCTTTTTGTTTCGATTTCCAAGTCTATAATTCGAATTTATGAACTATATACATTTACATAGGTAGGTCAATGTTAACTTAATTTGCCATCCTTAGTAGATATTTGATAGTATTCAGTAATTATATCTGTGGTTGAGATCGGACAGAAGGAGTTTTTAAGACTATCAACATTTTTAGAAGATGACAATTATTATGAACAATTATTTTTTAATTTCTTAAAATGTTAACTTCCTTGAAAAAAAAAACTTAAAAAAATATTTTTCTGTAATTTTCGGTTTTCTTATTATAACACCAATAACGGCTCAAAAAATGTTTTTCGTTTATTCATGAACGTCTTGAACGTTGCGTATATGTGAAACATACAGATTGATCAAAATCAGGCTCATATAATTTAAACATGTATCTTTGAATATAGTGCTAAAGTAAGAAAGAAAAAAAAAACACGTTAAAGACCATAAGACATGCATGATAAAAAAAAATAAGTAAAACAAAACAAAATCTCACCTTTCAATCGCCTCGCACGTCTTTTCAAAACAAAACAAGCAACTAAAGCAGCGTTTATCAAAACCAATACAGCGCCAGTTACACAAACATACAAGGTGACAGATTTCGATATGTCTGACGTCTCTACATACTCTGTTGACACTACGTTTAATTCTCCTACTTCTGATGAAGCTATTACCGGAAAGAAAGGAAACGAAAAAGAAATTAGGAGAATTAACAAAATGGAACATCTAAGAGAAACGTGCAAACTTAACGGGAGTATTTTAATTAAATTGTAACGCAGAGAGAAATGGCCCTAAAATTAGCTAATTATGCCCTTAGAAGAATGCTTCAACAATAAAATTTCCACCCAGGTAACTTTTAAGACCACTATTATTAAATTTGCACGCTTTAATACAATTACAATTAGAATTTTACTAAGCTTAATATCAAACCTCGAATCCTTTTATTTGTCCTCCGATGCAGACAAAATCCAACCAGCAGTACGTTTAGCAAAATGAGCGCTGTACCAACAATTGTGCCCGTGATTATAAAAACCCCGGGCACGTTGTACGAGTTATATTCCTCCGAGCTAGATTGTACTGATGATGGGATTACATCTGATGCGTGGAAATAAGGTTCATTTTAAGAAGATTTTCGTAATTACAGTAACCTAAGAGCGAGCGCTCATTGTTGATTGCTTTTTAACGTAAGACCGAAGTCGTTATTTCCTATTCTTTACGACGTACGTTCAGCTACTGAACGTGAGGTTATTTAAAAATCAGTCAGTAAAACAACATGTATATTTTATTTCGTAACCACAGCCTTTACGAATTTTTAATTTTAAAGATACATATATAATTTATCAAAAGGCTATTATAATTATCATCATTCATTATTATTACAGACTATCAAAATATTTTGCAGAACATAGGCCTCCCACATAGATTGCCTCATAGGTGAGACAGTTGCACACCGTTGCCACGCTTATCATGTTATCCAGTTTCAGTTCCCCCTAATTAAATTACAAAAATTTTTGTCATCAAATTAATTATTAAATTAATAACATATTTATTTATATTATTAATAAACGAAAACATATCATGTAAATATTGAATCCGAATATGTAAATATAAGAAATATGAAATCACTCCAAATATAGGAATCATATTTTACCCGCTATAAATTTGCCCGTTTTTGTAACCCTTTTCTATTATGTTTTCCCTAATGGATATATTTCGCTGTAAGATAGACTCCATTTTCTAAAATTATACGTGAGCACACGCGTTTTGTCTAGCCTTTTTCATGCTGAATCTAGGTTAAAGATGGCACAGAAAAGGCTAGGTCACGTAAAAGCAAGCGAAAGAGATGTTTGTTTTCAGATTTTCATTATGCTTACAAAGACTTTGTTTTTGGGCTTTTGAATAACATTTTATAACTTTGGAGTAATTATTGTCTTAATATGACCCTCTTAGGTTATTTATGTTAACCAATTTTAATAAATGTTATGAAAATCAAGCTTTTAATGTTTTTAAATAAATACCAATTATTAATAATAATTAAACACTTATTAAGAGAGAAGAAAGAAAGGAAATACGTATATATTGTATAAAATAAGCTATTTTTGTAAGCAAATTGCTATAATGTGTTATTTGACAAGCATATATTCTTTCTTTCTTCTGTTTTAATAAGTAGTTATTTGTAAAGATTTAAAGGGATTTCCCCATTTGTAAAGATTATTGATACGAACATAATTAAAACACATGTCATTTTATTTGATACGTATAGCACGATATTTTAGAGTTTGAAGCATTAATAAAAACGAAGCGACAGTAGCGTAATGTTTTAGGGGGCAGACTGCAAACTCATAAAGTCATGGGTTCTAATCTACTATTCGACTACTGTTGTAAACCAGTCTTAAACACTAACATTTTAAGCTTACAATATAAGTTATACTACTTATATTGTAAGCTTAAAATGTTAATACTATTTCCACTATTTTTTAATTTAAAATAAGTAATTCTAAAATAAAAAATGTCTTTGACTACATTCATTATCATCATTACAGTCCAGCAGTCGACTTGATCTAGTGGGGCTGATTTACACTGTTCTTGTTGGTATGAGGATGCTACTCGAGAACTCTTGTCAGCACTTAGTTTTATTATATAACAAGCTGTCACATCCAATTTAATCGTAATTTTCCAAATTTCTTTCTTAATGGGTGTCTACGATGAGAAAGGAGTACATATGCCAAATTTCAAGTCAATAGAGCGTATAATTCTGGAGATCTCGTAATGAGTGAGTGAGTCAGTGGTATTTCCCTTATATTTATATAGGGTTTGAGGTAGTTATTCTGGGTTAATACCTACCTCAAAATCTATATGCATAAGTAAGCATAAACACTAGTTAAAGATCTTATCAATGCTTTCGATTAAAATAAAAAAATAAACCATTGTAAGTTATTACGAAATTGCAGTACTTACTAAGTGTCGTAGCCTTTGTATCGTCAGGTCTATATTTACTTTGACCTATTTTGTTAACAGCCATAACTGAGAAAACATAGTCTGTGTTTCTTTCAAGGCCATTGACGGTGTATGAAGTTGCATTCTTCGGAGAGACATCTTCGTATTTGTAAGTCTCGTCGTATATTTTTCTGTAACATGTTTTAAATAGTGTTTACCCGCGTTTAAAAAAATACTTACTAACATTATAATAGAAAAAATAAGGAAATTTGAAAAAGAAAATGCTTTTGAAAAAATCTTACCGATAACGTATTCTGAACCACGAAGGTAATCCACCGTCAAATCCGGGCACCCAGGACAAAGTCACCGAATTGTGAGTTACATTAGTAACTGTCAATGATGAAACTAAATCTGTAAGAGAGAATCTTGTTGTACTTACAGGAAACAAGCTTATGGTTAAAACTGTAATTTAAAAACCCTGTCTAATAAAGTTACGTGGTAGAGCCATGCTGCAGCTATATTAATAGTATAGTTGTAGCACGAATGGGTCGGCTCGACCGGGGAAGGACCACGCTCTCACAGAATACCAGCGTAAAATAGCAGCATAACACTGCTGTGTTTCGTATGGTAAGTGTAGAGAACCGGAGACCCTTTTTACTGGAAACGAGGCATTCCATCTTAGTCCACACGGGTGACAACGCATCTGCATTTTGATTCTTAATCGAAGATAGATGTAGATGTCTATGGGCCACAGCAACCACTTACCATTAGGTGGACTGTGTGCTCGTTTGTCACCCTTATCCTATAAAAAAAAAGTTTCTGAAAAGAAAACCTTCCCCTACCTTTTTGTATTTGCAGATGTTATATATAAATATTACATAGCCCACGTAACTCCTACAATTAAGTTGAATCTAACACCTCACATGCTAAAATTCACCAAGCCGTTTAGGCTACAGAGCGTACCAAAGAAATAAACATACGTAAATATACTCTCGAAAAACATTACTGTACATCGGGGTCAGTCGGGTAAAAATGATTAAGAATGGAGAGCCTAATGGTTTCTAGGAACTTAATTATTTGGTAACCTCTTAAGTCCATTTAATGTTATTTAAGTGTGTTTTTTGTTGTTTATTTAATTTAAGTTTTTAACCAATAATAATCAATAAACAATATTTCAAAGAATATATATCCACTAAAACGTAACACATTTTTAAATTCTATAAAATATTTAGTAAATAAATAAGGAAAAAAATCGTAAATTTAATAACATTAAAAGAATAAGTTAATACGAGGGTATGCCTAATTTTAAGAAATACTGGAAAAGATATTTTTTGAATAATTAATACTCTCCATATTATTGCAGGACGACTTTATTTGTTATTTATTAATTATTAATTTATTTAAACTTTATTTGCGCACTATGTATAAAAGGCAAATTTAATACCACAAGACATTCTTTACTAGTTTACTTCCAGAAAAAAGGAGATGGGTGCAAAGTACAAATAACTACATAAAAAAACTATCTGCAAATTAAATATATGCATTATAACTATAACTACATATTATACTTGAATATGACATAGAATTTAGAAGCTTTGTTTGAGTTTCTAGTTCTTTGGTAGCCGTTATATAATATATCATAATAAAAACTATTTTCATATTTTAGTTATTTACCTGGAGCACTAGTTATATCTAGTTTCACTGAAGTTGTACTAAATCCCAAATCGTTCCTTGCCCCGCATTCGTAAGATCCGTAGTCAGAAGATGTGACGTCACTGATTAACAATATCGACGTGTAGGTGATGGGATCGGATTTGTGATATTCAGCGAAGTATTTGGTCGAAGTATTCACAGGGAGCTTAGCGCCGTTTTTGGACCACGTGAAATTTGGTGCCGGTGCAGCTTTGGATCTGGAATAAAGATACATATTGGAGAACGTGGAAGAAAATGGAACTTTGCGTCTACGATATCATATGATCGCTATATGTACATCTATATATCAACATTATCATTAAAGCCTATCTAAACATCTACTGCTGAACCTAGGCCTACCCCATAGATTCCCTCATAGAGAAATATAGTTATATTTGCTAAACTTGCCACGTTTGCCAAGCGTGTTGCCAACCGCAGTTTTATTTTTAATCAGCTATTATCAGGAAGATGCTGCCCATCTCCTACTTAATTTTTCCTTTGTCACTTCTTACGACACCCACGTGTTGATATGGGTAGTATTCGATATTCTTACACTTACTTACGCTACCGTGTAGTGGCGGTGTATATAACAATTATGTATATTTATAATCAGGTGAATTGCGTGCGCTCAATAGAAAACCTCTATTGATGTGGTATTTAATACACGAGGTATTATGGTACATACAACATGATGATGAACTATAAAATTCTCCCTACAACATGAGTGGCTAATGTTCAGAACTAAAATTATACGGCGTGATGAATAAAATTAAGAAATTAACATTATATTATTACGATAATTCTCTTCATTTGCTAAAGATGACACCACAGAATATACATAAAAATATGACTGTAATATTGACATTGATTGTGATCCAAACATAGAATTTGGTTTTTATTTTTGTTTATTAAGATAGGTATCTTAATGAACAAAATGTCGATTTAAAATAAAGGTACTCGAGCAGTAGCCTCGTACCGGTAAACGAAGTGTAGAACAGCCCCTTGATAGACGAAGTGATGACCTGATAAGCAGGAAGTCAATGGATACAGGTGGCTTGGGACCGTGTCTTATGGCATTACTTGCAGAAAGCTTGTGTTCAGCAGTGGACTTTTAAAGATTTGTAATGATAATGATGATGTTGAAGATGGGTTAAAAGATATATGGATTACAGTGGAGTATATATTATAAAAAGTAATACTGCTTTAAAAGTGATGACAAATTTACCTCAGCACACTTATTAACTTCGATGATATATTTCTAACTAATGCTTACCGAACGATTATATAAATGCTTAAAAGGACAGTAAGCGAATTGGAACTGAATTTCGAAAGATGAAATTCGACAAGTGACGTTATCTGTTCAATTTAAATTTCACGAAGTCAGCGAAGTTTAGAGAACTTTTAATAATAGTCGACCAAGGTTGCACTCTGTGTTTAAAAAGCTATGGTAGCCTTTAATAATCTAATTATAGCTGTTATATATTTTTTTTATCTAACTTTATCTACGTGAGCTTGTTAGTTTTCTAATTTTAAATTATTTTTAATTCTCAAGGATAAATAAAAAAAATCCACTTTAGACGACGATGGAATTATTATCTAGTTACTATAACCTCTTCTTCTTTTTATTCTTTTCCATCACCAGTCCGCAAGAGTCTACTGATGGACATGGGCCTCTCCCGTAGTGAGGATGTTCCCTAATCGCCACGTTTGGAAAGTGGATTGTCGATCACTGTTCCACATGTCTCGCATCTTGGACGCTGTTTCCAGTAGACAGTCTGGGTACTTTACGTCTAGCGTAAACAAGATCGGATATATCAGAATCCATGAGATATTTTGGCACTATTCCACCTGTTACGACACCCACGGGACGTTTTCTTAAGGTGATAATATTTACGGTATATATAACAAAAAACTCCCACTATGCCATCAAAATCAGGAGCAAAAACTTGTAAAAAAAAATAAAAAAGCAGGTTTTAATTAAGTGGCAAAACTTTATAATACTGAATAATAATTTAAACTCACCTGCACGTTAATCTACCAACTTCACCAACATTTGAAGCAGATTTCATCAAACTAGGCGACGTGTCCATTTCAGGTTTAAATTTGACCACAAGCATCGTATCTTGTCTGATCTCACCGCCTATACCATTATTAACAATACATTGAAACATTCCAACGTCTTCTCTAGTGGCTCGCTCAACAACTAGATAGCTAGTTTGATTCTTCGGATCGAAAGTGACGGTTTTCGGATCGATGTCGTATCCTTTTCGTTCCCAACGGATGTGTTCGGCTGTTAGCGGGTTGCCTAAAATTAGAAGTTCATTTAGAATTCACAATTAATTTGATTAATCTGTTTGTCTACAGCCAAATAGAAACCTATTTTTATTATTACACGATAAAACTGAATGATCTATTATTGCATTCCAAATTTTGTGGAAATTGTCTGCAATAAGAAATAGTCCATAATTTAGTTAGTGAAGTTTTTAAATTGTTCCTATATTCTAAATAGGCGTTAAGTATGTTGTGGGAATCATTTAACTTAATTATTTCTTTCTGATATTTTAAAACTAAAAAGGTGTTTGTCTCAGTGAACAGAAATAAACATAGAAGTATTACTTCAAGAGTATTAAGCTTGCAAAATTTGACACAATCTCACACATTTAAACTTCATCCCTGATTAGCTAATATTTTTGTATTATTTTGTATTATTGTTTTTGGTTTGAATTATCATACATCATATTAGTTGCAACTTGTTTTAAATTAGGCCATTGGGCTCTTTAATCATCGCCAGAGACGTTCTATGTAGTAAGGTGTAATGCAAATTATAACTAGTCAGTATTATGATAGTGACGGTATTAGAACTATATTCGTAACTGATAAGCCACGCCTGCCACAGGTCAATTTTCTTTTTTCGTGTTCACTTTCGTGCTTTATTTGCGTTCACTGGTGTAACTATAGTTTATAGTACGCTAAAAAGCTTCTCTTTCATTCTGAATCCCAGTACCACTGAACATTGTTACAATTTTTCATACTGATTTAAATGTTCTTACTCGAACAGGAAGGATTCATGATGAACTTTGGGAATTTGAAGGGGAATGCAAAAATATTTTAAAGACATGTAAAATTCTTCAATCTAAACTATGTTATAATTTTATAAATAATGAGGATTAAGTTATGACCAATAGAATCTGTGGATGTAGTAGTTAATTATAACTTTAATTCATAATCATTTGACAAAATTTACATCACATAATATTCATAAATACGCACCAGTAGCCGTACATGCCAATAAAGCGTCTTCATTGGGATCTGCTATTCCGATTTGTGATACACTTTTTATATCTGCTGGATCTAGAGCAATAAAAAAGCTGTTATTTTTTCAGTTTGCTATATATTGTTTCTATTAGTAAGAAAATATTTTTGTATATTAACATTAGTTGATGAAAAAAATTGCTGCCAGTTACCTACAGACTGAGATGTTGCATTGTTGTATCCACCATATTAAAATCAAAGTTGTGTATGATACTTTTTACTATCTGTATCATATATAAGTTTATTATGTCCTGTCTTAATTTATTCAAGCATCATCACAATCAGAATTTAAAAATATACGAATGTAACTAAATTCTGAATATAATATAAAAATAGTTCAAAATTTTTAAGAACATGTTAAAGTTAGCATTTAAACTTGATCAAATATTATAGATAATCTGTGGAACCCTACTTTATTTAACTGTATCCCGACATGCTCTTAGCCAATTATCTTTTATGACTTCAAAGGGAAGACGACCATCAGTTCAACTGTATTCACATTTTCTTTTTAGTATATACATGGTATCTCCGAGGTTAGTAAAATGAATTTGCCAACTAATTTGCAGGGAGCCGGATGCAGGTGGCTCAAGTCCGTGTTTTGTGGCATCATTATGGAAGACGTATATTCAGTAGTAGACTTGATAAAAAATTATTAAGTGCACATAAATTTCAATCAGTTTTTATATATCTATTTATTTTTGAATACTGACGAAATCACTTTTATTTTCATCATAATACGATTCTTTTAAATTGAGAAAATTCAAAATATCATTAGATTTTCTAATAACAAAACTTTACATAAGTGAAACTATTCGCTAGCGAGTGTATAACGCTCGGCCACGTTCATAAGCAATTTCACCTAACAGTTTCCAACGAACGGGTTATTAACATTACTCACAATGAACCGAAACGGTTATGTTAACTGTGGCCGCTCCTTGCGAGTTAACTGCCTCGCATGTGTAAACGCCGGCGTCGTGTCGCGACAGGCGCGTCATATTCAACATGCTGCCCTCCGATATTATTCTGTCGTCTAGAATGAAGAAATATTATATTAGTACAACCTGTAATACCCTGTTTCACCCCCTCAGGGGTTACATTTTCCAAAATCCTTTTATAGGGGCTATTTTCGTCGAAAAAGGAGTATGTGCCAAATTACAAGTCAATCAGGTGTATAGTTTGGAGATCTTGTGATGAGTCATATCGAAATAACTGCCTTTTATTGAACTGAGGCACGATATTATGACATAAATAAACATTTTTAAGCTTTTGTTTGTCTGTCTGTCTGTCTATTTAGGCTAATCTTCAAAATGGCTAAACCGATTGAAATTTTACGAACAGAGAATAATAACAGAATGTAGGCTTTATTATTAATAGATCACTAGACAACGCATATAAACAAAATTGAATTGTAAAACTTTAATATTTTTACGTGGTAGGGCCACGCTGCATCTACTCGTATATTACTGGTATAGTTGTAGCACGAATGAGTCAGCTCGACCGGGGCAGGACCACGCTCTCACAGAATACCAGCGTAAAATAGTAGTTTAATGCTGTGTGTGTTTCGTATAGTGAGTGTAAAGAACCGGAGACCCTTTTACTGAAGGTGAGGCATCCCATATTAGTCCTCACGGGTGATAACTCATCTGCTTTTTGATTCGTAATGTAGATGTCTATGGGCCACAGCGACCACTTACCAACAGGTGGACTGTGTGCTCGTTTGTTACTCTTATCATATAAAAAAAAATATGGAAATAAGTGACTTGTATTGAGCTGAGAGACGGTTATCATGCCATTAAGGCCTAATTTATCATTCTTAAAATGTTTGTCTGTTCGGGCTAAACTTTGCAATGGGTGAATCGATTATAATGAAACTTGTCGAACAGATAGAGAGCAATTCCGTGAGCGCGCCTGCTAATTGTGTGGTTAAGTTTCCGACACCCTAAAAATTAATAGGTTATCAAGAAATCTAACAACCCGGAGTCTGCAAGTTTATGGTATTTGATCTTTCTCCCTATTCACATCGATTTGCCATCTCATGGGACTGTGAGAGTAAGGGTGCACCCACGGAGCAAATACAAAGAGGAGGTGTTGTAATTGGGTTTCACTAAGTAAAAACGCGTGTGATTTGCAGGGTGACGGGGTGTTATGCCCCGCCCGCTTAACTATTTCCACCTACCGATAAATAGTAAAACTACTCGCATCGTTCCACATCGATTATGTAATGTAGTTTAACTAACTTGACGATAGATGGCGTCCTGTTCACAAAATGGGTATAAAAACTGTAATCATTTTGTGAACAGGCCGTGATTAAGAATTCTTTAGGACTGAATGCAAAACAAATTTCAGAACCTTCGTATGATTATTTTACCGATACTGAGCTCTACGTACCTTTATATTTTTAGTTCCTATGACATAAAGTGTCGCCATCTAGTGTCGAATATATTTAAATAAATTTGAAAGCCGACGCAGAGATTTTGCTAGAACTATTTTAACAAATTGTGTATAAAACTACTTACAAATGAGTCTATGTGAGTAGTTTTTATACGATAAAATACAACACTTCTGCCTTTTCTTCTTAATGCTACGAAAATAAATCGATTTGCGATTTTCGACACATAAGCGCATAGGACGAATGCTGGCAGAATAATAAGGTTAAAGCCACTCCCACTGTGATGACGTCTGGACCTAGTTAAAATCACAGTGTACAGTTGCTTAGGCCGTCTTCTCTTTGTATTTGCTCCGTGGGTGCACCTGAGTTTGCGCAAACTCGCGTGCACTATTATCCTACCCTGCGCACATTGTTAGTCTTCATTACGACTGGGTGTAGTGAACGAAATAAATTCAGTCCAGAGGACATTATTATCAATATTAATTTTATTATGGAAGCTATCGCACTCTCGAAGCTGTCTAAATTAATCTTATATTAAACAAAATATAAAAATTTAGCCTTAGAAACGTTGGAAAACGACAATTCAACATTCTATTTGAATACACCTCAAAGGAAATTATGTCGTCTGATAAATCGTGTTTGCCGTAGCCCGGAGTTAGATATTCGCTTAAATGAAGTCTGTCATTTAGTTTGTGATTCGAAATCTGGAAAATAATATTTGAGATTAAATGGACATAAATTTAATAAATATTCTGTAATATTGTGTTTTTTCTGCCGACTTTCAAATAGGAGACGGTACTCAATTCGACTGTATGTTTTTTTTATATGTGTTACCTCATAACTTTTTACTGCGTGAACCGATTTGGATGATTCTTTTTTTATTTGAAAGCTGGTACTTCTCGTGTGGTCTCATATGAAGTCAAGGGCAGACCAATAGCTTTTGAGTTATTCTTAATAACTCATATTGAAGTCGGCTGTACAAAATTTTTAATTTTAAATTATAATTCGATATAATACAGAATGTTTGACTCATTTAAATATCGTTTCAAAAGATCGTACGTGTGTTTGTCACTAAACTCCTCGTGTTTACGAGGAGTTTAGTGACAAACACACGTCTAGCCGTTTGGCTAGACCGATTTTGATGATTTTTGTGTGTATTTTAGTGGGTTCCTAGATGGTTTAAATTTGAAATTGGACCCGGTAGGTGGCGCTATTGTTAAAATCCAAAAATAACCCGTGCGAAACCGTGGCAGATCGCTAGTGCTAATATATATTTGTGACAAAACGATGGCAACTGTACGAAATTCGTAAGCTCGGACAAACAATGAAATAAAGACGGAGCGCTGCGGTCATTTCAGATCACGTCAAAATCAAGCCAAAACTATGCTCAACTTATTGCAAGAACACGCTCTAAAGCAAACAGACATATGCAGCGTTCCGTCTATTTTTTTTGTTGGTATGAGCTCATAAGTATAAAACATTTAACATAATAACTGAAAAAAATAACTGATAATTTATGTTGAATTTCATATTACATACCACGTTCTAAAAATTCATTCTTGCTAAAGATAGTACTTTCACAAGTTTAAACTTGCAAACATTTCTTTAAAACTATGGCTTTGTATGGATACTGTGAGGCGGGCACTTACTTGAACTGCTATACGAAGACTGCGTGATAGGCAAGCCGTCTTTAGTCCATGTATATGTGATGCTTCCAGGGTTGCCATCGGCTCGGAGCACAATAACAAGAGGCTCATTTTCCACTCCAACTGTCGAATACAGCGTTGCCTCGTCGAAAATTGGTGCATCTAAATTATAGAAAGATAAAAGAGTTAATAAAAGTGAGAAAAAAATAGAGAATGGTTTAGTCTCACTACTGGGTACAGATCTTCTCTCTATATAAAGAGGATTTTAGGACAAGTAAATGCCCGCGACGGTGCCCTAATGTGGACTTCACATGCCTTTTCAGAGAATAGTCAGAATAGTCAAATATCATCTTAATATTGTATGTATAAGTATATAAGTAGGTATTATTTAAATATATAGTAATATAACACACCTGTTACCTAGGTTTAGTCTCAGTGCATGTGTGTATACGTTATATAATATGTTAGCACTACCTTTTAACTCGCAATTGTTAATAGATAACTATGAACTCGTATATAACTCTTAGTTGGAAGATCACACACCGACTTGTCTGTGAAGTCACAAGGCTCCAACTGAAAACCAGCGCTGTATTTGCAGCATTATGCTGAGTTGGAGACCTATTTGATGTCACATTTTCATATTGATTTTTTTTTTCGGTTTTACCTTTTTGTTTGTTTGTTTTATTATTGTGTATGTACTGCTTCTCAATTGTAAATGCGTAAACAGTGTTAGACTGGTACATGCATTCTTTTCCCCCTTGCTTTTGTTTATAATATTTTTTTAATGAGTGTAAAATGTGTATATCAAATAAATAGTTCTTTCTTTCTTTCCTTTCAAATTCTCAGACATGCAGGTTATATCAGTGCCGTCATCATCATCATCCTCATCATTATTACAGCCCTCTACAAGGTCACTTCTGAATATAGGTGTCCCCCAAGGACTGTCGATCACGTTATAAATCAGTACTAAAAACAGCAATTTACAATTTCATTGATGCCGGCGTAGATCAAACACGGGCCGCTCGAAGAAAAAAAAAGGATTAATTAAAAATAAATTTATTCAGATAAATTTTAACTTATCGCTTTCACTATTTCCACAAAGGAAAGCTTAGAGTTTTTTTAAATCTAATTAAGTGTGAGAAACATACATAAGCACTCCCTGATCAAAAGAGGACGCTTGAATGCTAACATGAGGTGGACATGATGGAAAGAGGGTACTGCGTCTCATAGACTGATGAATGAGCGACTTTGATTACTCGCTACACTCTTGACCTGTTTATTGTGGCTGGGTATCACAGCTCTTAAAGTCATTCTATACTATGTTTCTCGATACAAGATTAAATTATTTTTCTCTTCCGATATTTCATCTCAGTCTCCTTCCTTATTTTCACTTATATTCAATTTTCATAATATTAGGCATATCTTGATAGAACTTGACCCTTAGGTGCTGCCCGCACTGCGATATTTCACCGCGCGACTTTTATTCTGGCGTATTATATTCCGTGATAGGAACTACACCATATGCACTGCGAATAAAATTTCGTACGATTTTTGTCAGTACGATGCAGTTCCCCGCTGAATTGCACGTCTAAAAATGAACAACAGATTTTTTTTAATTTACGTGATAGACGTATCAAAAGACGTCATGAACAATGGATTCACTAATTTAGGGCCTTGAGACCTATGAAAGTATTTTTCTACATACAACATCAATGGCTGCGAAAATACAGTAAAAGTTTTTCGAATATTACAGAATGACTGTAAAATCATTCGATAATTCACTACGACTTGTTGGTTGGGCTATTACCTATCAAGATACGAATTGGACAAAAATAATTATAGCTGGAGAGAGACCCGAAACGCGCGAATTTTATTACGCAGTGTGGACGTAGCGATACTTACTTCATACTGCACAAAATATTCGCGCGGAAATAAATCGCACCGCTTCGCGTTCAATTTGCATCAAATCACAGATTTTTTTCCCGCGCGATTGTTTTACCGCCAGTGCATATACTCCTATATGAATCTATGTGTTACAGAAATTCGAGAAAAAAATCGCGCCGTGAGATATCGCAATGCGGACAGGTCTTTATATCTTTTACGAGATATTAGAATGACCAATTATCATAAAAGATTTCCGATTTATCAATATTTAACCAGGACTCGTTATTGTATATTACTGACCATCACAAATGCTAAGCGTAGAACTGATATTAATTTATATTAAATATTAGGTTAATGACATTGATTTATTTTAACATAACCCTTCCTTGCTCCCCGTTCGCTTGGTAAGAATCTTCATGATGGCCCTATGAAGATTCTTTCGAAGCAAATTATGGAAAGGGTTAAAAGTCAGGGGATTCTCTGCATGACAGAACATGTAACGTAAATATCTGCAATAGAACCAGAGTAACCACCATAACTCAATAGATCACTTATATGAAGTGGCAATGGACTGACGATATAGCTCGAAAAACTGGCAATCGATGGGGAAGAAAGGTTCCTTATCGGTAGCCTCGTGACGATCTGGTAAGTAATGCGGGAAGTTTATGCAAGTAGATGGCTCAGGAACATTTTTTTCAGATTTCCTTGGGGAGATAAATAAACAGCGGTAGAAAAGTTGTTATGATAATGAAGATAATTCTGATTGTATGTATCAACTACATACAAACAAATTATTTGTCGACAGCTTGAGTTTCCTGACTGTACTAAATGACGTTATTTGTGTTTAGACTAATAAAGTCACTGCGAACAGCAAATGATCCAGCCATACTACGTACAATATGTTATTACAAACGTTCATGTCAAAAAGCAACTGTAAAACTTATAATAAAGCCAGTATAAGTTTAAAAGTAGATAAATACATTTTATATTATAATAAACTACTTTAAATGCAAAACAATGTACTTACAAAGAACTTTCAAAGTCAAAGCGTCGTGGACGCTTCTTTGTAAAGCCTCGTTCATCGCTTGACACGTGTAGACCGCTCCATTGAGATCCTTAGTTATGTTTAATTTTAATTCAATTGTTGATACAGTCCCACCGTGGAGACCTTTCTTTAACTGCATGGGAAGACCTAGGAAAAATAGTAAAAAATACTCTATGAAGTTGGAATCTTATAAAATCTAAGAAAATGGTGTCTAGACAGTTTAATTAGTTAGAATTAATCAAATGTTGGAGGTGAAATATAAATCAAGCAAAAGGTTACGACAAACCAATAATGAAAGAGTCTTAATACTCAATTGGTGTCTGACTCAAAGGCAAAGACTAATGAAATGTCAAATTTAAAGTCTCACCTTGGACGGGTATTCCATCTCGCCACCAAGATAACGTTGCGGGCGGATTACTTGATGCAGCGTCACAGAAAAGGGTCGCTTCGATTCCTGGTTTTAATTCTGCTGGTTCAGCTCTTACTTTTACTGCTTCTGGTGCAACTGTTTGAAAAGCATAGAATAAAATATTTAATAAATTAAAACTCTAATAAGAGTGACGTAAAGGTGTTCTCTAGTTTTGAATATTGTACAATCATTGCTGGATCAGTTTCTTCCCAACTGCATTGTATCATTATTACTTTGATGGAACAAAGTCGTAGAGTAACAAATGCTTTTGTTTTTAATCACGACCTTTTGATAAATTTTACTTGAAAATAATTTTGGTGTTATTTGTTCTTGTACTTGTTACAATTTGTTAGAAAGAATTTTGTTCCAATATCATAAATTTATAAAAACATTTTCATCAGTATCACTATAATAAATAATAAGTAACAAGATAATTTAAACATAAGAAGGGTAATTATTATTTTGACGAGAAAATAAAGAAAATATTTTCAAAAGTTAGCTCTAATCTAACCTAAGACAATAGCAAACGGCTTAAAATTTTAATTAAATTCTCTAAGAAGTTGTTAATTCAGATCTGTATTTATGCTTGAGCCAACATCAATTTTCTAAGTTTAAGTTTTAGCTCTTGGTTTCATTGCATTAAAATAGTTGCTTTGTTCCCGAGTTATACAACTTTAGGAAAATTTATAAGACTGCAATTAGGGGCAGACGGGTAGCTTAAGAATTTTAATACTTATAATTTACGATACGAGAGACTTAATAAAAATAAGAAGACTACCAACGACCTGCATTCCTTTGAATAAAAATTTATCACTTTTGAATTATTATTATTAGGCGTAATTATGTGATTTGCTCCGTATGTAATGCGTACATGTATTGGCTTATGTCTTTTTTATATTAAAACTTTTGTTATAATGAAATCTTATTTAAATGTCCTACACGCTGAATTTCCGACACTGCGGCTAATCTCAACGGAGACTAGCCATCTTCGCACGGCAGGACTATAGTGCACAAGTGTGTGCCCAAACACATGTGCATTTTCTATTCCCTTACGGCTTTCAGACATGGCCGGGGAGAGATCATGTGCATGACCAACTTCCTGAGTCCGGACAGCTACTAAGATTTTCGCGATAGAAAAATCCAATTTTTGATTTGGCTGGACTCGGCGTTCAAACCCAATGATGAAACAGTCGCGCTAAGGATCACTATACCAATTAGGCAGTCGATGAAAAAGTGTAACTCAGTTGAGGTGTGATTCCCACCGGAGTTACATGATACCATTGCTCGTCCTGATTTGTTTATTTGCTTACAAATATCATATAAATTTAATTGTATATATTACTTACAGTGAACATTCAAGGTGACAGTTTCGAAGAGAGGAATTTCAGTGGCGCTGTTGGTTGCCTCGCATCTGTACTGAGCTTGATTATCGGTGACGTTCGTTAGTATGGATATCTCGGCTGATACCGCCTTGTCCGTCATTTTCGATGTCGAATGTATCTGTTGAAAATATGTCACATTAATTTTTTTATATAGGATAGGGTGACAAACGAGCACACAGTCCACCTGATGGTAAGTGGTTGCTGTGGCCCATAGACATCTGCATCTATCCTCGTATGTGAATAAAAATGCAGATGCGTTGTCAGCCGTGAGGACTAAGATTGAATGCCTCTTCTCCAGTAAAAATTCTACTCCGGTACGTAATAGTTTACAGATTAATAATAGAATCAGGTTATTTTGCGGAAATCCATTATATTGAAGATGTTTAATGCTAATTAGATCCGCGTAATATTACTACAGCATACTACCAGTAAGAGCAGTCAGCAACTGCAGAGTCTACTACACCTAATTATGCCTCGTTTAGAGGCGAAACACGTGTCGTATATTGATAGTGGTGTGTCTTTCCTAGTGTAGGTGTGGTGCGAGTAATGATTCTGGAACTAGTGTGGAATAGTGGTGACGGGGATAGTGCACGCAATTGAGCGATGGCGGGAGTTGCTCTTATGTCAGGTGTATACGAAATTATTATGCCGCCACAAACAAATCTTTATAGCATTGACACTATTATGTCAGGTGTATACAAAATTATTACGCCGCCACCTATCTGCAGTAAACAAATGTTTATAGCATTGATAAAAAAAAAATGCAAAATAAAAGATAATGATTTAGAGATTTTTTTATAGGATAAGGGTGACAAACGAGCACACAGTCCACCTGATGGTAAGTGGTTGCTGCGGCCCATAGACATCTACATCTATCTATTACAAATCAAAATGTAGATGCGTTGTCACCCGTTAGGACTAAGATGGAATGCCTCATTTCCAGTAAAAAGGGCCTCCGGCCACCTGCACTTACCAAGCGAAACGCAGAGGTAAACCTCTACTTCACGCTGGTTTTCTGTGAGGTCGTGGTACCACCCCGGTTTGAACCGGCCCATCCGTGCGACAGCAAAAGCTGCCGCGTGGCTCTACCACTGTTATAGAAACTATATAGTTATAGAAATGTCGGTACCTGGATTGTATTCAAGAAAATGATTATTGAAAAACAAATAATTGCAGTTAGCTGATAAATTGTAAAGTTTATCAGATTTTTCTTCCATTATCTTTTTTTGATAAAAACTTTACCTCCACTATAGGATTTTCTCCTGTATCGTGGCAGTTTACATACATAAACAAAAGGATAGAATGTATTTTAATTAATTGTCATATTATTTTTGGAGCGTCGTATTTTTTTTAATTAATTGCCATATTATTTTTGGCGCGTCGTTTTTAATAAAACTATAAAATTCAAAATCAATCAAGCCGTTATTTTACGAGAGATCATAAAATAATAGACAAACATTTATAAAAACGTATAAACATACAAAAGTTACCCTCAAAGGAAAAGGGAATTTTGGAAATTCTTTGGAATTCTGGAAAGTCAATTTTTGATTTTCCATGCCATAACGAATGTCATCAGTAATTTTTAAAAGTGCTGTAGTCGTACTATGACCAGGGTTGAAACCGGATTGCAAGGGATTAAGGAGGTTATATTTTCATATATAAGAGCTCAGTTGCTTGAACACCAGACGTTCTAACATATTATAAATAAATAAGGTTTCGCCGTGTGACAGCGGTGTAAAGAAATCAATCTCCCTATAATATAAGATTCGCTAAGCTCAAAAGAGGGAAATACCTGAATGTTCTTGTGGACAGATTGCAGCATAACTATCACTATTACAAATGCAAATACCCACATCATCGACGAAGAGCGTGCAAGTTTTGTAAATCCATCCGCTTGTACACTCGTCAATCCACATATGTGGGATTTTTCAGCAGTAGACTTACTATCATCAATATTATATTCATTATTAAAGCCACAAGTCCACTTCTTTAAATAAGACTCTTCCAAGGATTGGCACAAAAGACACCAGGTCCTGAGCCACCTGAATCCATCGACTTTCTGCGTGTCTTTCCAGGTCGTCACCTCAACTCATGGGAGAAAATATTTATAAAAAACGTCACCATGTATTTATTTACCTTCTTATCATTCTTGAACCATGTGATTGTAGCCAACGGATTCCCTCCCGTGGAAGTGCAAGACAACCTCTGTACTGTTCCCGCAGCCAAAGTTGTTCCAGGGACGTAACCAGTGATCATTGGGGGATTTGGTGGATCTAGAAAAGAAGTAATAAAATAAGAATTACATAATGGGGCCGAAATTTTATCTGATGGCAGTGGCATAATAGATAGGATTATTGCGTCTATTTAACATCCTTAAATCTAAGAATATTTTTGCGCCCAGTAGTTTATTTGTCTTGTTTATATTTTCGCTATTTGAATACAATACAAGATAGTGACAAGGAGCATGTCAAGAGTAAGAGAAGCTTACCAAATGGGAGAGGCGTCAGATCCAGCTGAGATGAAATGTGTTCCGAAATATAGTGTAGGTAACCTTAGAAACTATTCACCTAAATTGCCTAGATAAAAACAGTCGCACTATAATCGTACTGGATTTGTTGCCCAGATAAACTAGTACTTGATATAATTCCAAAAAGTAAGCGCTTTGAAAATACCCTCACATTTTAAGCAGTTACCATATAACAAGTTTAAAATTTCATTACGACGATGGCTGGTAGAGAAAACATTTTACACAATAAATGAGTTTTAAATTGCAGTGACTAAGTATTTTTAGATTTCATTTATAATCTAAGCATTAATTAATTAATTTATATCTTTACATTCTTTTTTATAGAATAAGGGTGACAAACGAGAACACAGTCCACCCGATGGTAAGTGGTTGCTGTGGCCCATAGACATCTACATCTATCTTCGTTTGCGGATTAAAATGCAGATGCGTTGTCAGCCGTGAGGACTAAGACAGAATGCCTCTTTTCCAGTAAAAAGGGTCTCCGGTTCTATACACTCACTATATGAAACACAGCAGTGTTAAGCTGCTATTTTACGCTGGTATTCTGTGAGAGCGTGGTCCTTCCCCGGTCGAGCCAACCCATTCGTGCTACAACTATACTATTAATATAGCTGCAGCATGGCTCTATATCTATATTGATATAATTAATTCATTTATAAAGATTGTAAAAGGACGTTTTTAATTATGTGTGTAGAATAAATTTGGTAACCAATATTATTAAAAAAAAAACTTTTAGATATTTGCATGCTGTTGGAAACAGCTAAATAGCTTTTATCAACACATCATTATGATAACAATAAAACAAAATATATTTGTATGTATTAACTAGCAAATAAAGAATTTGAATTCGAATTTGCAAATTATAGAAAAATAGTACATAATATTATAACAATACGGTTCAGTATACTGTTATAATATTATGCTACTTTTAATTTTTATAAAATTAAAGTTTCTGGAAGAGTATGAAATGGTATTACCAATGACTTTATACAAGTTTTCATTTCATTTTCTTTATCACTGAATGTGTGCGAACATAAAGGTGATATAAATAAATAATTTAATAAAACATGAAAAAAGTTAACTCAAATCCACATTAAATAAAAGAAAAAGAACGAAGCGGCATGACATTGTGTGAAATTACCGCCAAATACTGACATCCGGTACACGGACAAAGAAAGCAAAAGGTTAATGGTCCTAATTTTAGTTGAATTTATTCTTTCGATTTTTGTATCACGTTTTTTCCAGGGAAAGGTAATTTCATACAGTAAAAAGATAATGTAGAATTTCGCAATTTTCTCTACTAGATCGTGCTTTGCGAGCGCATAAATAATACACAATTTTCTTTTGTACGTTGTATTTTTTTCATAACGTGAAATTATTGCACATAATATTCCACCGGCATATTGTTTACAAGGTTAGGGATAAAAAAAAATAAACAATTTGTATACAAAAGCTGTGAGTATGGTTCTTCTCACTTTAACAAGAATTTAAATTCAGGTCTCAATAGAAAATAGTAAGTTCATCACCTTTGGAAATGCCCTTTCTTTTATATATATATATATATATATATATTTATAACGGCCATATATATGGCTGTTTCAATCATTCCCTATATAAAGTTATATATGGGGCAGATCTATGTTCAGCAGTGGACTTTTGATAGGCTGTGATGATAACAGATAACGTTCATACCGAATACACGCAAACAAATAGCCCACCTGGTAAGCGAATGCTGTGGTCCATAGACACATACATTGTTAACCTTCACGATTAACATGAAACACCTCGTTACCAGTAAAGTCGGTCGTCAGTTCTCAAAACATAGTTTTAAAAGCGTTATGCTGCTATTTTACCTTGGATAATTCTGTGTGAGTATGGTCCTCTTCTGGTCGAGCTTACTATTATATAAAAACGACGTGGCTTTTCGACGTTTATACATAAGTATTTATATGAAAGAAATTACGTTTAAATAAGAAATAAAAACCAATATATTAAAATACTGGGATTTGTAATATATTTTTTCGCTTAACAGACAATGTATTTATCAAACAAAAATGTCTACGATCGTGTCACGAACAAATTGATCGAAAAGCATGGCCGCCAACAAAAGTTTTTTTTTGTACGAATGTCAATCCATTATTCATTATCAAACTTTCACAAATACCTTTTGAGTTAAATATATCATGTGCGTATCGTCATATATAGTATCATGTGCGTAATTTCCTCATCTTATTTTAGGACAGGAAAGTGAAAATTGAGAAATAAGTAATATTTCTCTCTTATATTTTCCCCTAACGCTTCTGCCTGGTCTTTGTGTTTTTGGTTGAGCGGTTTGAAGATTATTTCATATTTTTATACACATATATACCGACCGACTTTTTACCGTGGAAAAAAAAAAGATGCAATAGGTGAACGAAGTAAAAGGTTATGGACATAGGTATTTTTAAAATTTGTTGAATAAATAATATATAAATATAATAAATAAAATAATGAGTTAAACTTTTACTGTGTGCCCCAAAACAATTAGATATAGGAAAAATTAAAAAGCAAGTTAATTAGAAGGTAACATTTGG